GCTGTTTCGGGTGGGGGAAGAGACGCATGCGGACTGCGCCACGGGGACCTTCGGTGGCCCCTATGGGGCCACGAAGCGCTGTACTGGGTGAGGGAGACGCATGCGGACTGCCCCACGGAGACCTTCGGTGGAGCCCCATATGGGGCCACGAAGCGCTGTACTGGGTGGGGGAGACGCATGCGGACTGCGCCACGGGGACCTTCGGTGGAGCCCCTATGGGGCCACGAAGCGCTGTACTGGGTGGGGGAGACGCATGCGGACTGCGCCACGGGGACCTTCGATGGGGCTCCATATGGGGCCACGAAGCGGTGTACTGGGTGGGGGAGACGCATGCGGACTGCCCCACGGAGACCTTCGGTGGGGCTTCATATGGGGCCACGAAACGCTGTACTGGGTGGGGGAGACGCATGCGGACTGCGCCACGGGGACCTTCGGCGGAGCCCCTATGCGGCCACGAAACGTTGTACTGGGTGGGGGAGACGCATGTGGTACACACCACTGGGGCAATAGGTGGACCTCATTATGGGGCCACGACACGCTGTACTGGTTGGGGGAGACGCGTGTAGTGAGTGGGCCTGAATGGGAGTGGATAGGCGTGTGGGTTAATCTGAGATTGAATAGGATGAATACGAAATCGAGTACGAGTGAGCCTGGGCACGAGGTAATCTGCGTATTAGTGAATCTCAGGGCTGGTGAGACTGAGTGTGGGTGAGTCTGAAGGTGAAACGGCCTGGGCGTGGGCGAGTGTGACTTTGAGCGAGTCTGTGTACCAGCGGGTAAGTATGTGTGAGCTTGAAAATGACCGACTAATGCAGGATGACGATTAATAACGACAGACAAGGGGAACGATGGAAAAAAAACAAGTTTCTTTGATTTCTGCTTGCTTTTTTCAACGGAAGGAAGACGATTAAAACATGTCTATTACACGTCGGCTTCGAATTCTGCGTCGAATACTCATTTCACGTCGTCAAATTTTACGTGAAATAACAATTTGACGTTGACTTCAAATTTTACGTCAAATGCAATTTCTACGTCGGCTTCAAACTTTTACGTCAAATACTCGTTCCACGTCGGCTTCAGACATTATGTCTACTGCTCATTTGACATCGGATTCGATGTTACATCAAATACAAAATCCACGTCGACGGCTGTCCAGGCGCGCGCCCGAGGACGGCCGGGGGGCGACGATTCAAAAAAAAGTGTCCCTGCCCGCGGCCGGTTTTTTCTAAATCATCCTCCGGGGCGCCGCCGACGCAACACGACCCCCGGTCATTTATTAATCGTCATCCTACATTATGAAAATGAGCGAGTCTGTGTGTGATCAGTAGGTCTAAGTGAGGAAGAAGTGGTGGTAAGTCTGGCGCGAATGGGTGCGTCCGAGTGGGGCAAGGGGAAGGAGGTGAGTGAGTGGGTGAGTGAAGAGCACACATGTCCAAAGGAACACCTGAGGGGGAACAGAAGCATGCAAACCGCCGGGGACATCCCCCGGATGTTCGCGCGAACTCTTGAATGTCTCCACCCCTGGCGGCTCCCCCTTGGGGTGCCCAAATAGCACGCCTGCTGTATCACGTTGGCCCTGGGACCGCAGAACAGAAAATCTGAGGGGGGCAGGGACAGGCAAACCGCCTGAGACATCCCCCCAATGTGAGCGCGAATCCTCGTGCCCCGACCCCTGGCGGCTAACCCCTCGGGGTGCCCCGGTGCCGCGAGTGCTACATCGCGGTGAGATTGGACAACAATAAAACGAGAGGGGGGGCACAGACAGGCGAACCGCCTGAGATATCCCCCAAAACTTCTCCGGAAACAGAGGATGTTGGACATGCAGACAGGCAAACAGCCGAAGACACCCGCACAATATTGGCGCGGATCCTGGAGTGTCCTGACCCTTGGAGCCCCCCACTCCTAGGAGTGCTGAAGTCTGCTCCGGCAGCAGAGGATGCTGGGAATGCAAACAATCAAACCGCCTGACACATCCCCACACTCTGAGCGCGAATTCTCGAGTGCCCTTACCCCTGGCGTCACTCCTTAGGAGTGCTGAAACCAGCGCCTCGCCTGGACATCCTCAGAATCTGCCAAACAAGCAAGCTGCCTGAGACATCCCCACAACCTGCGCGCGAAGCCTGAAGCGCTCTGACCACTGCCCCCCCCCCCTATGGGGTTCCTAAGTGCTACGGCTGCTATATCGCCGTGCGCATTGGACCACCACTGAGTACGAGTGAGTCTGAGTCTGGGCATGAAAAGGATATGAGTGTGAGTTAGCCTGAAGGTAATTGAGTCCGAGGGTGAGGGGAGTCTAAGTGTGAGTAAGTCTGAGTGTCAGTGAATCAACATGTGATGAATATAAACATGAATGAGTCTGAGTATGGGTGAGTCTGAGTGTGAGTGAGTCAGGGTCTGAGTGAGTCTGAGTGTGAATGAGCCTGAGTGGAAGTGAGTCTGAGTATGATTGGGTATGTGTCAGTCTGAGAGTGTGTGTGGTTCAGGAAGAGGAAGAGGACGGTGTGAGGAGGTGAGAGTTCGTTTGCTTTCGGAGCCGTCTAAGTGATAACAGGCACTCCACCTTAGGACACGGGGAACAACAATATATTCTTCAGGGGTCAGGAAGGACCCCGAAGGATTTCCTAGCGGGTTCTGGGGGATCCGTCGGGTTTCTTAGGATCCCTGAGGGCCCTCAAGAAAGGATCCAGACAGATCCTGAAGGTCCAGATGATTCTAATGATTCCTGAAGGATCCAGACGGTCCATGCAGGATTCTGGAAACTCTTGAAGGGTTCCTGTGGAGATTCCTGCGGGTTCATGAGGCCCCTGTGGATATCTAAAGGCTCGGAATTCTGTCGCTCCTCCCAACCGCGTTTCCAAATTCCAACGCGCCCCGCCGACGCAGAATCTCATTGCCCCCCCCCCTTTGTTTTCAATGTTCCATTCGCCGCGATAGCTTCACGACGCGAGGAGGTGCGTCCTTCGGGTCAGAGCTTTGGCGTCGGGCCGACCGCGCCGATCTGGGCTTAAGTCGGGCGTGTGCGGATTCTCAAGGAAAAATAAAAAATACAACAAATACTCCAACATTGCAAAAAAAAAACAGTCCCCAGACTATGTGTTGACTATTTTTGAAAATTCCCCCTGTAGAGGGACAGGCCCGACACAAATCTGGGCACACCCTGCACACCCTCAGCGGGGCGCCGCTGCAGGACCGCACCCCCGAGGCTTGAGAACCTCTGAGAACTGGCGACGGGGTCCGAACACCACGAGAGGAGGTCTGGGCTTCTCGCTGGCGCCCACGCGCCCACGAGGGGTGGAGCCGCAAATCATATCCCGAGGCACGTGCGCGGCCCAGGGGGCCCACGGGGCGTTTTTTTTTGTAAACAAAAAAAAGGGGGCCCACGGGGCGTATTGAGACGAGACGAAAGGGCAAAGACACCTGTGAGGGGCAACGAGAGGGGGGGATGGGCATAGGGGGGGGATGCATCGACCCTGAATCGGCGATGCATCGCCGATGGATCGGCGACAGGCCTCTGATAACGAGTCCGCACCTTCCTGGGCAGGCTGGGGCTACCGGGCCCCTATCGACGATCAATGGGCGATTGGGGGTCGATGCATCCCCCCTATGCCTATCCCCCCCTATCCTTGCCCCTGAATCTGGGAAGATGTCATGATGTTTTGGCAATCGCGGCATATGGGAACCAAGCAGATGTGGTCGGAGGATCGCGCCCTATCGCCGATACATCCGCGAAGTCGGCAATGTATCGGCGCCGTCTGCGTGGAGGAGATCGGGCTCGTCAGCAGCCGCCCCACCGGTGCATCGGCGATGCAGCGCGATCCGCGGACCCCGTTCACAAAGGAGAGACAAACTGTGTAAGCATAAATTTTCGGAGCTCCGCGCGGATCTCTTGGTTCTGCGCTAAAGCGTCTCCCTGGCGCGCGGAGCGCGCCAGGGGTGGCGCCCGAGACCAGATCCCAACAAACCCTACGGATCTCCGAAAGCTTAGTCTATGCAGTTGTTTCTTCGGATCTACTTTGACACCTTCTGGGAGGCCCAGACTCACTAATCATCCCCGACTCGGCCTGCACCAAGGCTCCCGAGGGCACGAGCATGATTTTTGGATGGGAATATGAAAACAAGGAACAAATACGGCAAAACGATATCATGATCGTCCCCCGACTATTTGTTGACTACTTTTGCATATTCCTCCTGTAGAGGGACGTGCCCGACTTGGTTCGGTGGCAACTCATGGGAGCCTCCCATACCATCTTGTCGGCTCTTGCGAATCGACACTAATCGACTCTAGTCGACGCTAATCGACGCTAAATCGACGCTAACCGACGCTAACTGACGCTAAATCGGCGTTCTCTCATCGACCCCCAGACGCTAATCGACGCTAACCGACGCTGAAGATGGAATTGAAAGGATACACCAGGCTCCCATGACTTGCTACCGAAACTTGGGGATGGGGGAGAGGGGCGCCTTGAGACAACGACAAACTCAAGATCGGCGCCCTGGCCCCTCCCTTTCCCAAGCCCGTGACCATCCCGAGCCGCGTACAGCCGTGGCGGCGACGAGAGGGCCCCACGAAGGCCGACTGCCGTTGTCTCACCACGGCGTAAACATACTCCAGATTTCGTAATAAAAGGGAGGGGGTCACAACCCTCCCAGACGAGAAGTTTTAGACCCCCCCAGACCATCCATGAAAGGGCGGCCCTTTGCCCAGACCCCCCCCAACCCTCCAAGACAGCTCAAATCAGACCCCCCCCCCAAAATGTGACCCCCCCCACTTTGTTATGGAATCCGGAGTAAGCATAAACTTTCAACGGTCCGCGCGGATCTCTTGGATCTGCGCCGGACCCCCCTCCCTGGCGCGCGGAGCACGCCAGGGGCGGGGCCGGCGGCGCCGCCGGGGGGGCCCAGAGCGGATCAAAGAAGTCCGCTCGGAGCGCCAGAAGTTCATGTCCATGCTGTTGTTGTTCTTCGATCCTCTGCGATAGGCTAGACGATGATGCGAGCAGGGGTCCTGCACGCCCGGGAAGATGCCCGCGTTCAGGTCGTCGAGCATGATGACGCCGCCGGGCGCCAGCGCGCACGCGGCGACCCGCAGGTCGTGCAGCGTGGCCTTGTCGCCGCTGTCGCAGTCGTCGTCGTCGTCGTCGTCGTCGTCGTCGTCGTCGTCGTCGTCGTCGTCGTCGTCGTCGTCGTCGGCGTCGGCGTCGGCGTCGGCGTCGGCGTCGGCGTCGGCGTCGGCGTCGGCGTCATCGTCGGTGTCTTCGGCGTCGGCGTGGGGGTCGGCGTCGGCGTCGGGGCGGCGTCGGTGTCCTCGGCGTCGGCGTGGGGGTCGGCGTCGGCGTCGGGGCGGCGTCGGTGTCGGCGTCGGCGTCCTCTTGCTCCTCCTCCTCGGCCTCCTCCTCCTCCTGCTCTTCCTCCTGCTCCTCCTCATTATCGTCCTCCTCCTTCTCCTCCCCTGATCCTCCGTTCTCCAAATTCCGAGAAAAGTTCTGCAATATGCATCTTGCAGAACTTTCTCTGCAATTTCGAGAGGGTGAACTCAAAATCGGAGCCCGCCATTTCGATCGCGCAATTTCGATGGCGATGGAAATGTCGATTGCAATTTCGAGCCCAAGATTATTGCATTTTCGAGCCTGCAACTTCGAGCGCGGAGGAGGAGGTGACGATGTGATGCCGACGCACGCTTCAATCCAAACGCGGCGCATAATATTCACGCGCACGTGCTCTGATTCAGCCGTGCACTCCGCTGCCCGCAGGCGGGAGGGGGAGGTGAAAAGCTAAGCTCAAGCTAAGCTTGGCTAGGCTAGGCTGAGCTAAGCTAAGCTAAGCGAGGGGGAGGGGGGTGGAGGAAGGCTAGGAGGAAGAGGGGGAGGAGGAGGAGGGTGGAGGAAGGCCACATCGAGCTCTGTCGTCGTCGTCCTCGCCGTCCTCGTCGTCCTCGTCGTCCTCGTCGTCTTCGTCGTCGTCGCCCTCCTCCTCCTCCTCCTCCTCCTCCTCTCCTCCTCTCCTCCTCCCTCCTCTCCTCCCTCCCTCCCCCCACTCCTCCCTCCCTCCCTCCCTCCCCCCCATGCCTCCTTCCTCCCTCCCTTCCCTCCCTCCCTCCTCCCCTCCCTCCCGCCCCCCCCTCCCTCCCTCCCTCCCTCCCTCCCTCCCCCTCCCTCCCTTCCCTCCCCTCACTCCCTCCCCCCCTCCCTCCCCCCCTCCTCCCTCACTCCCTCCCTCCTCCTCCTCCTCCCCCCCTCTCCTCTCCTCTCCTCTCCTCCCTCTCTCTCCTCTCCTCTCTCTCCTCTCCTCTCCTCTCCTCTCCTCTCTCTCCTCTCCTCTCCTCCTCCTCTCCTCCTCTCCTCCTCCTCCTCCTCCTCCTCCTCCGCCTCCTCCTCCTCCTCCTCCTCCTCCTCCCCTCCTCCTCCTCCTCCTCCTCCTCCGCCCCTCCTCCTCCTCCTCACTGCCGCCTCCTCCTCCTCCCCCTCCCCCCCCCATCCTCCTCCCCCTCCTCCTCCTCCTCCTCCTCTCCTCACTCCTCCTCGAGTAAAGAGAAAGAGGAGAGAGAGAGAGGAGTGGAGAGACAGAGAGAGGAGAGAAGGAGAAATAGAGAGAGAGAAGAGAGAAGCGAGAATAGAGAGAGAGAGAGAGAGAGAAGAGAGAGATAGAGAGAAAGAGAGAGAGAGAGAGAGAGAGAGAGAGAGAAGAGAGAGAGAGAGAGGAAAAGAATAGAATGATGGGAAGAGAAGAGGATTAGAAGGAGAGAGGGTAGAGAGAGAGAGGAGAGAGAGGAGAGAGATGAAAGAGAGAGAGAGAGAGAGAGAGAGAGAAGAGAGAGAGAAGCGAGAGAGAGAGAGAGAAGGAGAGAAGGAGAGAGAGAGAGAGAGGGAGAGAGAAAGAGAGAAAGAGGGGGGGAAAGAGAGAGAGAGAGAGAGAGAACTAAAGAAAGAAAGAGGGAGGGAGAGAGGGAGAGAGAGAGAGAGAGAGAGAGAGAGAGAGAAAGAGAAATAGAGAGAGAGAGAGAGAGAGAGAGACTACTCGATTGTGGAACGCGCGCATATGCTCGCCAGCAGCATGGGCCCGCGCTAGTCGCAGGAGAAGGAGAGGGGGGAGTGCCTGCTTATTTTCCGACACCCTCCCGCGATGCAAATTTTTCGAGAACGGATGATCAGGGCGGGCATGCGCGGCCGAAAAAAAAAAAAGGCAGCCTAAGGACAGAGACGCACGCGCACTCAAACGCACGCACACACATGCACACACGCG